CCTTCTTTTGTTCAGTCATTTGGAGAGCCTTGAATGAGAAGAAGCTGATAGAAAGCATTTTGGCTGAGGCTCAAAGGAGCTGCTATACCACACAAGATCAGCATTGCCCTGCATGCAATTGATATCTGCTCCTGCAGTCAGTGGTATTCATGTAGAAATATAAAGGAATAGGTTGTGGGGCAAAAATGGGGAAACTGGGGGCTCTGCAAGTATTGCTGAACTACAAATACCAGAAGTCTCAGTCAGCAGGAGCAATTCTAGATGGGCTATCAATAGAGAACAATCAATTTTACAATCTCTCTAGGGCAAGGGCCTCACAAACTGTTTAGAATAGGCAATTTAATGACCTCTAGATATTCTAGACTAAGAGATACTAGGATGGAACTGATAGATGCTATAACACAAAACATCTGGAGGGCACCAGAACCTATAAAAGGGGAAAACTGGACTGCAAAATCAAAATGACAGCATGCCAGTTTAGGTTATGGTTAGGATGGAAACAGATGGGAAAGGAAAAATGATGATTTAGAAGTTAAGAGGGACAACTACAGAACCCGAGGGCTCCAGATTAAGGGGATTGAAGAGAAGAAACTGTTAAGACACATAGGAGATGAAATAATAATAATAATAATAATAATAATAATAATAATAATAATAATAATAATAATAATAATAATAATAATAATAATAATAATAATATAAAGTTGGAAGGGACCTTGGAGGCCATCTAGTCCAACCCCCTGCTCAGGCAGGAAACCCTATACCATTTCAGACAAATGGCTGTCCAGTCTCTTCTTAAAAACTTCCAATGTTGGAGTATTCACCACTTCTGGAGGCAGGTTGTTCCACTGGTTAATTGTTCTAACTGTCAGGAAGTTTCTCCTTAGTTCTAGGTTGCTTCTCTCCTTGATTAGTTTCCATCCATTGCTTCTTGTCCTGCCTTCAGGCATCTTGGAAAATAGCTTGACTCCCTCTTCTTTGTGGCAGCCCCTGAGATATTGGAACACTGCTATCATGTCTCCCCTCGTCTTTCTCTTCATTAAACTAGACATACCCAATTCCAGCAACCGTTCCTTATATGTTTTAGCCTCCAGTCCCCTAATCATCTTTGTTGCTCTTCTCTGTACTCTTTCTAGAGCCTCAACATCTTTTTTACATCGCGGTGACCAAAACTGGATGCAGTATTCCAAGTGTGGCCTTACCAAGGCATTGTAAAGTGGTATTAATACTTCACGTGATCTTGATTCTATCCCTCTGTTAATGCAGCCCAGCACTGTGTTGGCCTATTTGGCAGCTGCAGCACACTACTGGCTCATATTGAGGTGATTGTCCACTAGGACTCCGAGATCCCTCTCACAGTTGCTACTATTGAGCAAGGTACCCCCTATACTATACCTGTGCATTTGGTTTTTCTTCCCTAAATGTAGAACCTTACTTTTTTCACCATTGAATTTCATTTTGTTAGTTGATTACACAAAGCAAGCTGAAATGTACCAACACCTCCTTCACCAACCTCAGAGGTTTCTTCCCCAAAATACATTACAATACTTGCTCTGACTGACGATGAAGCTCTTGGATAAGCAGTGAAATGTCTCAAACTAAGAAGAAAAATAAGGAAATATTTGATGTTGTAACTTGAGATTTGTACTAAAGATTTATGTATGTTATTGAACTATTGATTGACCAGCCACCACATTGCTTTTTAAATACTTAATTGTAAAATTAGAAAATTAATAAAATATTATAAAAAAAATAGGTCCAGTTGCCATGACTCAAACTTTAGACAACTTTACCTGGATAACTGGTAACTAGATAACTGTATGTCATTGACATACAGTTTCTGTTATTTGATATCCTGATATCAAATAAGACTTTGCATGCAGTTGCACATGAGCTTAGGAAAAAATGCCAACAGTGCTATCTGAGCTCCAGATTGTCTTTCCCCTTTCAAACATAAAGCACTGTGCAGCCCATTGGTGTCTAGAGTGGGATGGTGCTGAAAGAAACAAGATGGTGGCTTTCATTGCACAGATATTACCACTGTTTTTATTATTACTTGCTATCTCCCTGGACGCCCCTGATATAGCCCAAGTACCTATGGATAATTTTGTGGAAAAAAGGGAGACTTTGGCTATCTGAAGCCATCCTTCAGAGATTTGGGGAAGTGGTAATATTAGCATATTGGAACAAGTGAGGAACAATATGGTGAAAGGCATGGAGGATAGCAATGGGTAAAGATGATCAGTCTTTTGCCTCATCTGGAATTCTATGATCTTGTATAAATGAAAAGTGCTTTCCATTAATGTAAAGCCACTGCTAGATCTAATCCAGACATGTTATTTTTTTAATGCAAAATATTCAACTATCTGAAAAGGCATGTCTATGACAGGTTGTATCACATGATTATTTTGAAATTATGAATTAATTCATAGAACAATTCACACAAATGTTAAGTGATAATGTGATTTTAATACACCCAAGACCTAGGTGGAGTTATTTTAATGTGAAATACTCCTATTGGTGGTCAAAGTTCAATTTAATTCGCTGATGTGTCTCCAAAGACTTCAACTAGTTTTCTCTGAGGACATTTCCCTGCTTTATTATGTTCTTCTGCTTACTAGTTTCCTCTTCCTTCAAAATATCTTTGTGAATACAGGTAGTCCTCGACTTACAACAGTTCGTTTAGTGACCATTCAAAGTTACAATGGCACTGAAAAATCCGACTTAAGACAGTTGTTACAGTTACAACCTTTGCTGCATCCCCGTGATCATGTGATCAAAATTCAGATGCTTGGCAACTGGTTCATATTTATCACCGTTGCTGTGTCTCGGGGGTGTGTGTCACATGTTCACTTTTTACGACCTTCTGACAAGCAAGGTCAGTGGAGAAGCCAGATCCACTTAACAGCCAGGTTGCTAACTTATCAATTGCAGTGGTTCACTTAACAACCGTGGCAAGAAAGGTTGTAAAATGGGGCAAAACTCACTTAACAAATGTCTCACTTAACAACAGAACCTTTGGGCTCAATTATGCTTGTAAATCGAGGACTAGGCCTCACGTTCTGACACTTAACTGTACAATCTCTCGCCTCCGTGCCAGACATTTGCAAAATACAAACTGCAAAACTGTGTTGGTCAATCCACATGAACTCTGAAAATGGTATGGCTCTGGGTTACGTACAAAAGGGTCACTCCAGGTCTTCTCTCTTCAGTGGGTTTAGGAGACTGAATTATTTTGGAGGCAAGAAGCACAACGGAAGCAAATGCCTTGGGGAGAATTTACTGGAGCAAGATAAAAATGATTAGAAACCAGCAACTTTTAACAGGTTCAGGGTTATTTTATTGGATTTTCAAGTGAAAAGATGTGAACACCCAAGAGCCACTTTTAGTGCAAAAGAAACCTATGTTTTAACAGGGACTCTGTATTCAGCGTTTGTTCTGTACATATTTAAGACCAATATTCTGCAAGCTTTCTTTGTAATCTGAATCTTTATGAGATTTTAAGTTGTGCACATCAAATTTCTTAGGCTATATGTAACCTTAATTTTGGAACTTTTTGTTCAATGGCCTTTTTTCAGGGCGGCAAAGAACAAGCCAATTGTCATTGGGATCTGAATGAATTGATGCGTTTTCAACTTTTATTTCCAATACAGAATATTGCAATTCTTAAAAAAAAATAATAAGATTATGGTAAACTTGAAATGGGTTCAGAGTAAACCCCTTGCTGGGTCTGCAGCGAAACCCAGACAGTTTTGTATTTAGACAAATATTCGGAAGAGTTTCCCCAGCTGCAGATTAAAGAACGACATACTTCTGAGAATCCCCTCAATGGAAAATTAGTCCTATCCGGCCAGGGAAAGTAGTGCTTCTCCGGCCGGCCACCGCTTGACCTCGGCCTTCGTGGGTTCTGCTCAGGCAAAGACCAAGTTTCAGGTCTGGCTTCCTTTGTCCCCGTAAGTTGCCCAATGAATAGACAGAATCCGCGGCACCCTTAGGGTTGCCAGGTGTCCACTATTTGAGTGGACAGTCCACTTTTTTCACATTATGTTCACTATTTTTTTTCACAAAATAGTGGACATTTTTTTTTTATTCAAAAGCTTTATGATGAAATGGTACGTAATCTAAAGCTGTACAGTCTACTTTTTTTTACTACTTAACACCTCCCCCCCGCTTGTCCGCTATTTTTTGGAAGCAGACCTGGCAACCCTAGGCGCACCCTCTCCCTTTAGGACCCGGGTGAAAACTGAAGCCGGGAAGGGGCAGTATGCAGCCCACTGCGCAATGCACACGATTTCATACTTCAGCATCTTGGAAACCTGGGAGACCCACAGCAGCGGCCACACCGATCCAAGAGGGGGCGTGGAGAGGCAACGCGTTGAGTCGCTTCCAGGAGCAAAGCCAAGCCGCTGCAGCTGGCCGCGCAGAGCCCGGCCTTCCTGCCTCCATCCTTATTGATTTCTTCGCTTCTCGCATCTCTCTCTCTCTCTCTCTCTCTCTTTTTAAGCTGAGAAAGAGAGATGCGCGCGACGGCTTTGCCAAGGGTCTGACCGGCCAGCCCAGCCAAGCAGGCTGTATATGCATTTGCTGTGTGGATGCTGCTGCCGCCGCTGCATTTGCTTGCTGGCCTTGGACCGGAGCCGTTCGTGTATTGATCGGGCAACGTAGAAGCCCTCCGATTTTTGTTTCTTTTTTTTCACCCACGCCCACACCCACACCCTCCAGCTTGAAGCTCCCTTAGAAGGGAGGGAAGGAGGGAGGGAGGACCTAGAGAGGTTTGCAGGGAAAGTTGCGAGTCACCAGGGAGGGGGGTCGCGGGGGCGATGCCGTGTGAGCCCGGGCTGCTGCAACGGCAGGAGAGAGAGGGCTCTTCAGGAACAAGAAGGGGCCGAGCCCCGTGGGCAGCTGCTGCAGCAGAAGCTACGTCCCACTGAAGGAGGAGGAGGAAGAGGAGGAGGAGGAGGAGGAGGAAAGGAGCACGGCGCCGCCGGAGTGGAAGCATCATGAATCCTGGCAGGCGTCGGGCGCTGCGGCTGCTTCTGGCCTGGGGTGAGCCTTTCCTGATTCCCGGGGGTCGCTTCGTAGTAACGGGGCATGGTGGGGTGTTTTCAGCCCGCGTGCAGGCTCGAACCAGGAGAAGGAGGGTCGCTCCAACGCGTCCTGGACAAAGAGGCAGGCGGCGCGGAGCTGGGAGCGGGCTCCGGGCTGCCTGCTTGCCTGTCTGCCTCCCTGCCGCCGCCTATGGAGCCAAGGAGCGGCGCGGTGGGAAGGTTCCAGCCGTCCCCTGCGGGCGTTGGGCCGGTCTGGGCAGGAGCAGCGAAGTGGCGGTTCTTGCTGCTGCTGCTGCTGCTGCTGCTTGCTCGGTCGCTCGCTCGCCGCGTTGGGCTCCCTTAAGGCGCGAACTGAGAGGGGCCGATCTGTTCGGCTGAGCCCGAAGGGATCCTGAGGCTTTCTTGTCAGGAGGGAGGTGGGAGGAAGAGGAGCCCCACTAGGAGGAAGGACGTCTTCATTTTGGCCGCGCAACGCCGTTTGAAAAAAGGCATTTCTTTCCCAGAAGGTTTCTCTAGGTCTAGGATGTCACCTCAGGATTGTAAGAAGTTACTTTCCTCCTGGCTGGGTCAGTTAGAGGCTGCTATTTTTCTGGAAACACTTTTTTTTTTTTAAACTCTGTTCAGGAGGTACAAAAACCAGAAATTAGCCAGCCGTATTGTACCCCAACATATTTTATGCCCAATACGGTTGGATTATGGTTCAGTATCTCAGCCAAATCCAGAAAGCTAGCCATCCTGAGTAAATCATTGGAAAAGCATGTCGTGGGAACGCAACCCGTGATGAGGCAGACTTTAAAAACTTCTTAACACATTATGCTAAGTTGTGACTTGTTTCACCATAGTGCTAAGGTAGAAAGCCGGGTTTCCAAACTACATATATAGGTTCACAGAAAGCACTGGGCAAAATAAATAATCAGGTGTGCATCTTGGGCTTAAAATTAATCAGATTTTAATAAAATCTGAACAGTTAAGAGTTCTCTGTTGGCATGAGAAGCTAAGGGTGAAAGGAGCTCAAGATGGGGGAGTTCTTAAAGAATATACGAAAAGCACACTTACAAATACTTAATTTCAGTGAGGGAAAAATGGAGGCAGCACAAGCCAGTGAAGCTTTGTGAAGATCTAAAAATGAAAAGAGGACAGGTCAGAAAGGAAGAGCATGGACAGTAGATTGAAACTGTAGAGCTGGCATCAAGTAAACAAATGATCAGAATAAACTGACAAATGCAAGGGAAACTAAGAATGATAAAGACTTCTTCAGTTTCATTCATGTACCCTAGATAACTGGTGGAGGAGGAGAAAGAGGAAAGGAAGATGGAGCAAATTACAGATTGGTGAAACATCAATGTCTGGGAAGATTCTAAAGTAATCACAAAAAGATCTGTATTTAGCACTTTGGATATTTTGCAGTTGTTACCAAAACTCAATACAGATTTATCAAAAACAAATCCTGATAGGGTAGCTTTGTCTCATTTCTTTGGTCAAATAACTTAATAAATTGTGGGTATATTTCGACTGCTTGAAGCATCCCATGACATATAAATTGATAAGCTACCTAACTGTGGGGTGGATGACATAACAATGAAATGACTATTAAATGTACACATACACAAGCCATGTCAAACTCGCGACATCGCGTGACGTCGCGTGACGTATCGGAGCTTTTTCGCCATTGCCGGCAATGGGGTGGGCGCGGCTCCGGTATGATGAAACCGGCCCGCGGGCCGGCAGTTTGACACCCCTGACATATACACACATCAAATCATTGTTAACTCCTGGTGAATACCTGAATTAGTCCCTGCAGTTTTCAGAAGTGGTTTTGCCACTGCAGATGTCAATGATTCCTCATCAAACTGATATTAAGTGAAGTGCTACAAGAAACTGTCCTAGATCCTCAGCCTGTCATGTTTATTAATGATTTGGATGAAAGATGACTAGAAAGTTTGTCTGATTGGCAGATGGCATACAGCTAGCTGGATTAGCTATTATCCTAGAAGACTGAGATAAAACTCAGTGGAATTTAACAGGCACAAGTGCGGGAAACACTGGGAAACAAAGATCAAATACACAAGTACAGGATGTGGGGATATATGACTTGGTAGTGATTTTTTGAAAGGGTTAATTGCAAAGAGAATACAGTAGGGGTGAGCAATATGATTTGGTTGCAAAAAAGAAAAATGCAATTTTAGGCTGTAACAACAAAAGTATTATTTTCTAGTAAGCGCTCCACTTGATCCTAGCTTGATCACATTTTATATCTAGTATTGTATCCACTTTTGGATACCATACTTCAAAAAGGAGTCAGAGAAATTGGAACAGGTTCAATGAAAGACAGCGTGGCTCACTGGGACATCATGTCTTGAAGGAGCTGGGTGGCATTTAGGCTAGTAAAAAGATTGTAAAAGATTGAAGAGATATGATACCATTCTTCAAATATATGAAAGGACATCACATAGGGAAAAAAAGTCGAAGTGTGTTTACTTTCCTTCTAGAATGAAGGACACATAATAATGGATTTCAGGTACCAAATACCAAATTCCAATTGAATGGGAGGTTTTTTTTTTAAAAGGTTGCTAGTGTTTTAACAATTTGCTAGTGGAATTAATTTCCCAAATAAATGGTTAGACTCAGTTTCATAGTATGTGTCCAGATGAGGCCTGCACAATAATCTATCTGGTATAGCTTAATTTGTATGCATATACAAAATGTTCTGGGCATGGAAGAGCTGGTTTGCGGTGGTCTATGTATGGATCACAATATTAGTGCTTTGGACACAGACCTGAAATAAGTGCCTTTGGTCTGAGCATGGACCCAAAACACATGTATTCCAGAAAGATATTTTCAGGTTAATGAAAACAGGAAAAAGTCAAGGTCAGTGGCAATGGTGGTGGTTAAGCAGACACAGAGAAAGGAAGACGGGAAGGATTTGTATCCTCATCTGTGTGCCATTGCTGCCACCACTGAATTCAAGTATGCATATCCAATTAACCAACCTGCTCCTCCCCCCCCCTCTTTCCAATGTCTTCCCTGGCCTATCTCCTTTTAGCCACTTCTGCTACTCTTCTTTGTTTGGGATTCAAAACAAAATACATTTCTTATGACAGGCATGCCTGTTACTTTGCTTGCTGCTTTGAGCAGCGAGTTGGCCCAGTGGCCTTTTTCAAGTCTTTGATTCTATGAATCTTATATGAGAGCACCTAATGCTTGTAAATTAGCATGCTATGCCACCTCATCTAATTGTGGTTTATTCGTTCTTAAACAAACTCCTGTTTACGATGATGTGTGATCACATTATTACTTGTGTCTGTATAGTAAAAGCCTTTGTTTAAGACATCTCAACATTCCAGTTTAAGCTTTAATAGAAGAGAATATCTCCAGCTCAGGGTTGAACTGAGGAGGGCTCTGTGCTCTCTGAGCTTGGTTGTTTACTAACAGATGTTTAATTACCTGACTAGGTAAAATCATCAGTGCTAATGAGTCTGGGGTTGCTCTCTGTTAATATAAAATAGCTTGCCCTGCCTGTAGTATTGGGGGTACAGTTTTCTCTTTGGTAGTTCCTTGAATTGCATATTATTTTCTGCTTGATTGTCTGGTGTTAATCCCTGCTTATCTGGGTGTTGGTTGCTCATCCAAGCTAAATCCAAATCCTAGACAAAGCTAAATTCAAAAACACCAGGGAATTCCTGGAAGCTTGGCATTCAGATGAATCAGCCAAAAAAGACACACAGAGATAAACCACATTTACATATCACTCAAAAGAAACAATACAAAACTAAAAAGGAAACAAAACAACAGAACATATCCTCTCCAGCAACCAAAACCCAGATAAGCAGGGATTTAATATCAGGAAAATAATCAAGTAGAAAATAATGCCCTAACCAAGGAACTACCAAGGAGAAAACCACATCCGCACCAATACTGGTAGGGCACAAGCTATTGTATATAAACAGGGAACAAACTGTACACTCACACTAGCATTGATGATGTTACGTAGTTGGGTAATGAAATGTCTGCAAGCAAGCAACCAAACCTAAAGAGCACCAAGGACTCCAGAGTTTAAGCTTTATTGTACAGTGGGAACAGGAAGTCATAATCACTATATTTGTTTTAAATATTTATTTCTTATGGTGGAAAAGTTGAAATTTTGCCTGTCTTTTGTATTATTCTTCTTGCATAGAATGAAACCTCCACCTATCAAAAATACTTATTGAAACTCTTGTTAACTTTCAGCAACTTTGAAGTTTAAAGGTCATTCCATATATTATATGCTATCTGGGAAAACAGTGTCCTCCTATAAGTAGTTCTTGCTTAACAACCACAATCAGGACTGGCAAATCTCTTGCTAAATGGTACAATTGATAAGCAAGACATGACAAACTTAAAACATCACTTCTGCTGCAGTCACTAAATGAATTGCAGTGGTTAAGCAAGACATCATGTGACTATGACCTGCAATTTTATTGGCAGCTTCTTCATTAAATGTTTGTCAAAAGATTGCTGTGAAGCTGCCAAATGTCAATCATGTGACTGTATGGACTGAGTCATAAAGTTATTTTTTCAGCACTGTCATCACTTCAAACAGATGCTAAACAGGGTAGCTGTCAAGCAAGGTTTATCTACATATATTACCTGACTGCAAGGTGCACTATATTACAGCAAATTAGAAAATCGTAACAGTGTGTAGCTATATCATATAATATTGGAATACCCACATTTTTAGTGATACTTATTTGTACATATGACTCAATTTGAGTATTAATGTAGTCAAATTGGTCTCCAGCGTTGCTTGCCTGTCGAGACTGTTTAATGTTTATGTATTTCAATTTACTGTATATTCATTTTGTTTGGTGGAATATACTAATTTACCTTAGAAACAATGAAAGAATCTTTGATGTAACTCACTTTCCCATACTATGGTTGAACTGGAATTGCTGCTCTACTTCTGTCTAGGAGATTGTGTAATTTTATACCACACTGAGAAAACTTTAACTTTTGGTTTCT